GGAGTGCAGTGGCACAATCATGGCTCACCGCAGCCTCAACCTCCCCGGGCCCAAGTGATCCTCCTACCCCAGCCTCCCGAGCAGCTGGACCACAGGCACACAGCACCATGCCTGGCTGATTTCTGTATTTTTTGTAGGGATGGGGTTTGGAAGTTGCCCAGGTTAGTCTCAAATGCCTGGGACTCAAGCAGCCTTGGCTTCCCAAAGTGCTCAGGTTAGAGGCATGAGCCACCATGCCTGGCCTAATCATTTTTAAAGAGTCTCTATTTATTATCATTTTTTTCTAATTGAGACGGGGGTCTTGCTGTTGCCCAGGCTGGAGTGCAGTGGTGCCATCTCAGCTGACAGCAACCTCTGCCTCCAGGGCTCAAGTGATTCTCCCACCTCAGCCTCCCAAGTAGCTGGGACTACAGGTGTACACCACCAGGCCCAGCTAATTTTTTGTACTTTTGGTGGAGACAAAATGTACCAAAGGCATTTCTGTACATTTTGCCATATTTTCCAGGCTGGCCTTGAACCCTTGGGCTCAAGCCATACACCTGCCCTGGACTCCCAAAGTGCTGGAGTTATAGGCATGAGCTACCATGCCCAGCCCTTAATCATGTGCTGTGGCTTAATATTAAAATAAAGAAAGGGAGGAGTCCAAGGGAGCACGTAGGCAGAAAGGGCTCCTTTGCCAACAACCTTGCTAGCACGGCATTCACTCCCTTGCCTGGCTGGCATTGCGCTCTTTAGATGAAGAACACTTTATGTGTAAATGAAAAACAAGAACAACATAGGAACACCCTGTCTCTACAAAAACTTAAAACTTAGCTGGGTGTGGTGGTGAGCACCTGTGGTCCCAGCTGCTTGAGGCTGAAGTGGGAGGACCGCTTGAGCCCAGGTGGTCACAGCTGCATTGAGCCAAGAGCTGCCATCATGATGCTGAATTCCAACCTTGGTGAGAGAGCAAGACATTGTCTCAAAACAAAAAGCAACGAAAACCCAAAATGATGTACTGTAAGTTCTGTCCTATAAATTCCACTACCTTCATTTGTAAAGGTACATAAAGGTGAAACTCAGGAGCTGCTTGCTGTAATGTGGACATATGCTTGATCTCAGCTCTGATCTGAAGCACATCCTTCTGTCTCACTGCTTCCCAAGTCTAAGCTAAACTTCAAAAGTAAAAATACTCCCCAAAATGTTGTACATTTTCAACTATTCATATTGTACCTTAAGTTTCTCTTGTATTGGAGGAAAAACACGGTGTCATTTAAAGTGATATGTAGCTTCAAAGTGGGATGTAAGGTGATTCAAGTCCTTTGAGAAGACAAGCTTGTAACAATGACATGAATAATGTTGGAATAAAAATCACAAACTAAACATCAAATAACGTAGGTTCAATCTGTGTCTTTAACAAGTATCCGGATAACTAAACTTTCTGCTTTCCTTGGGTGTGAAGATCATGAAATGTAGTTTATAATTATTTGGGTAGAGAAAATAGAGAATTTGGGTAGTTATGTAAAATTCAAGATTAAAGAAAAGCAGTATTATATAGCAGAAATATAAATTGGCTATTACCTTTAGTAATTTAGATCAGGGGTTGGCAGGTCTGTGCATCAAATCTGGTTCACTGTGCTTGTAAATATAGTTTTATTGGTACTCAGCCATAGGCACTTGCTATCACCCATGGCTGAGGGCAGAGTTAAGTGGTTGTAAGAGACCTTATGGCCTGCAGGAACTAAAATACCAGCTGGCACCTTGCAGGCAAAGTTTATGACCTGATTCGGGTAGCTGCTTAAACTGTCCAATTCGCTTGTTCTAAAACAATCCAACAATACAGCACACTTATCTGAAGATTTGAGAACACGCATGCACCAGCCTAATCAGAAGAAAAGTCCAATTCCACCCAGAGGGCTACAACAAACTCTTCCCTTTTCCATACAAGGAATTAAATGAATAAAACTGTGTGAGATTTTACTGGTATGTATCATATGCACGAGTCTTGATGAAAAGTTAAAAACGTGTATTTATACAGATACATAATGTTACTTTTCCTTCCACGTTTAACTCATACACTGTTTTTGGAATTCTGGTTCACAAAATCTGCATTTCTGCACCATGATTTTGAAGGCAAAAACCCGAATGCTGAGCCAGTGGTCAATTCTGAGGCGCCCAGCATGTTCAGGAGGCAGTGTCAAGGAGCGTGTCCCTTACCTGGAGGGGTGTAGGCATCCATGGAGGTCTGCACGACCAGGGACCTGCGTTTGGAAGGCATAGGCACCGCCATCTTCCACTCTTTGTGTTTGGCCAGAGCTGCCTGGACAGCTTCCGTGTGGACGTCTGAAACGGAGAGAGCTCAATCACTCAGGGCTCAGCTGAGGTCCCAGTGGCCAAGCTGTACCCTCCTCTCTGTCCCCGCAGCACGGTTCATCCACCTTCTCAAACTCACCAACAGATGGGTAGGTGAGGAAAGAAAATCAGTGTTTACAATTCCAGTAAAGACATTAAAATTTATTCACAGACTTTTAATTATTCATTTTATTACTGCAGAATCCATGTCCACAAGCAAACACTGGCTGTAAACTGCGCTGAGATTTTTCTTTTTAGGGTGAATGGACCTTGATCTTTGGAGATTCTTTGTAGGTCACACGTGTGAGCCTCCAAATCCTTTCACTGTACCACTGAGAGGCGTGCACACGCCTCGCACCCCAACTCACACAGCCACAGTCGCAGCTCAGCTCAATACCAGCCATGGGCCAGGACTGTGTTGGCTATGGATAAGGTATGGCTGTGTCCCCACCCAAATTTCAACTTGAATTGTACCTCCCAGAATTCCCATGTGTTGTGGGAGCGACCTAGGGAGAGGTAATTGAATCACTGGGGCCCATCTTTCCTGTGCTATTCTTGTGATAGTGAATAAGTCTCATGAGATCTCATGGTTTATCAGGGGTTTCCCTGCTTCTACCTCGTTTTCTCTTGCTGCTGACATGTAAGAAGTGCCTTTCGCTTCCCACCATGATTCTGAGGCCTCCCCACTATGCGGAACTGCAAGGCCAACTAAATCTTTTTCTTCCCAGTCCCGGGCATGTCTTTATCAGCAGCGTGAAAAGAGACTAAAACAACCATTAACACATTTTGTGGCTATTAACCCATTACATTAATTCCACACATTCACTGAATGCCTTCTCTGTAAGTCCCTACGGGCTGGGGACGCAGTGGTGATAAGGCAGACAGTCTCATGGCATCTCACGCAGGCCACTTCTTAAGGGACGAGACAAGTGATACATGGGCTAGAGAATTAAAGCAGAGACAGATGCAGCGGCAACTCCAAACTGTGAAGCCAGGGAAGAACCCTCTTAACACAGAATCAGAACAACGGGAATGAAACATACCGGCTGTCAAGATGAGAATCTTTGAGACACAGGCAAAAACCCGCTCAAAGGCCCTAAATTGTCAGTGAGAACGGTGTTAGCAGAATAAAAACACCACCAAAAATGGCCAGCGTGAGTGAAGACGGGTTGGGGCAGTTTTCTCTGAAGCTGCGAGAATAATCCCATGAAAGGGAATCGGACGTGGCTTTCTGGCTTAAACCCCCCAAGCTGCCACCTGAGACAGGACCCAGACCCTCAGCATCACGCCCACAAGCAGCTCATCACACTGCTTGGTCTTGGTCAGCCTTTGTGCACACTTCTCTCCCTAACTAAAGAGCCTGGTCATCTGGCCACTATTTCTAATTCCCAGGTCAAAAACCACTATGTGACTGACTTGGCTCATGGCCAAAAACTGAAGGGATCAATGAAGTGACAGTCCACTCACTTCCACAAATCGCTTTTTGTTTTGCATATTCTCCCTTTTAAACTTTTTGGATGTAATTTCAAACACACAGAAAATCTGCAAGACCAGCGTAGCGAATTCCCACATAACTTACCAGGCTCAACTTAGGCCCAAATGCTCCTATCTTACATCACTGCTTTCCCCCCTCCCCCATGAATTTTCTAAGTCAAATGAAAATAAATTTCAGATACTATGTCCTTCCATACCTAAATGTTTCAACGTATTTCCTCAACACAAGGATATGCTCTCACATTCATTTTCCTCAAGATCGGGAAATTTAACTGTCATATACAAAGTTCACTTTCAAATGGTGTCAACTGTCTCCATAATTTTTTTACTTTGTCCTCCTATTTGAAGATCCAATCCAGGATCATGAATTGATTTGTCATGTGATTTTTACCCGTCCAGAATCCAAGTTTCTCAGCTTTTGTGTTTCTTGAAATTGGAAATGTTAAAGGATACAGGTCAGTTATTTTACAGCTTGTCCTTTATTTTGGTAACTTCCGGACTAGACTCAAGAGTATGCATTTTATAGCAGGGACACCGCAGACGTCTGTCCTGTGTGGCAATGTTAACATCGGCAACTCAGTGAAGGTGGTGCTTACGTGCCTCCAAAGCAAAGATGCTACTTCTCGCGTTGAAATTAAGATTTGGGAGGAGACACCCTGACACTATGTGCATATTCTGTTTTCCATCAATTCTTCACTACTAGTTTTAGCATCCACTGATTTCCTGTCATTCCTTCTAAATCATTAGATCTTCCATATTCACTGAAAAATAATTATTCTATCTTTCAGCATTCATTTACCTATGTCCATATGTACTCATGGAGTCTGGCTTGGTGGGTGATGATTCATAGTTACAATGGTTTGTTCTGTTGCTCAACTGGTCCCAGATTTGACACCGGATTCCCCAGCCCTTAGACCAGGGCTCCTTCTAGTGAAGAACCGTGTTTGGAAGCTAAGAGTGGGCACCGGGTGCTGCTGGGCATTGCCAGCAAGTAGAACACACAACACGCATATGCACCCACACCCGTCCACAGGCACTTCTATCCCTGTCTACATCTGTCGGGAGCCACCAGCTTATACTGGTACCTCCTGCTGCAACCGAATCCCACGTGATCCATTCCAGGCTTTGGCCTTTTCTTATTTCTACCTCTTACCAAGAAAGAAACCTGGGTCCTGTAACACTCAATATATTCACTGATTTATTAAACTTATTTGCTTAAGCCTGGAGATACAGAAATGCTTTCAGAATTGCTATCTAATACCACTGTGAAAAATCTATCGAGTTCAGTGCTCATTTGTAATTATTTTTTCATTGTTTTTTTGGAAGGGAGAGAGTACAAAGTATACACAGTGAAATGTTCAGATCTTGAGTACACTTGGCGCATTACGATAAATGGAAATTTATTACCCGAATCAAATCTTTTGCGTCAAAGTTCCCACAAGTCCCCTCCCAGCCCTCAAGAGACAGCCACTGTTCATTCTCGAGGAGTGTTCTTGGTGCTCTTCCGTCGCCCGAGACTCGCATAGATTCTCCATCGTCACATGGACTCCACGGCGTGGTGTTCACTCTCTGCTCAATTCAAGGCTCCTGGAACTCATCCCCGTTGTCTGTTTTGGTTTCAGTATTTTGTACGTTTTTCCTGATGGGAACTAGGACAATGTATGAATATATCAGAATTTGCTCATGTTTCTCCAGATGAGAGAGATTTATGTTGTTTCCAGTTCTTGGCTCTGACAATTTACTCTGGAGATAATGTGCATTCTTTACAAGGACACACATTTTCAGCTCTCCTTGGTGAACGTCTACAGCGTACCTGCTGGGCCATATGGTAAGTGTACATATTTTAAAGAAACTGCCACAGTTTGCTGAAGTGGCTGTGCCATTTTAAGTCTCCATCAGTCTGAGATCCAGTCTGTCTTATCTTCACCAGCACCTGCTACTGTCCTCCCTTCTCCAGTCTTGTGAAGGGGAACCTTGTGGGTTTAAGTTGTACTTACCCAATGACTCCCTGGTGAGCACCTTTCACGGGCCACTGGGCATCTGTATACATCTGTTGCGAAGTGTCCATCTTGCATGCTTGCAAAATTCACACCATTTCTGGTTGTTTGTACATTTCCTAAAATATTCTAAATAAGGCCCTATGTCTTCTGTACATCGAGCATCTCCCTGCTTCCAAGTCTTTATGCCTTTTAGTTCTCCTGACTCACTTCACGGACGAGGGCCCCAGTGCGCACCATGCGAACCTGAACCACTGAGAATGGCCATGCTCCCGACACCCCTGACTATGGGCAGAGCTCCCCGGCTGCCACCACCGAGGAGGGGGGTCAGCTCTGGTTTTTCAGGAGTGGCCTTTATCAAATGGAGAAAGTTCCCTTCTGTTCCTGATGTGGTAGGAAATTCGTATAAGGACTATTAAATTTCAACAGATGTTTTTCAGTGTCTACCGAGAGGATAAAATAAATGGGTTTTCTGCTTTATTTTTTGTTAATGTGGTGAATTACATTGATTTTTGAATGATAAGCCAAAATGTACAATGCAAAACTACAGATCATGAGAACAAACTCTAAGTGTTCATGGTATTCTTATATCCCTTTTACATATTTCTGGGTTTGATTTAGTAAGAATTTGTTCAAAGCTTTGGCATCTGTATGTCAACAAGAGTGAAAGACGTGAGATTTTGCCTCGCATGCAAACTAACAAAGGGAGCCAGCACCAGCCCAATGCACTGACGGAGCCGGGACATTTCCGGGCCAGAAACAAAGGGCTTGTCACACACAGTGGGGCAGCAGGACCCACTCACCCCTGTCGATATTCAGGATCACACTGTGGGGCAGCGGGACCCACTCGCCCTCTACTCAGCAACGTCCTGTATCCCTGTACAAAGACAAGATGTTATTTAGGCAAAACAAAATTAATGATCATGTAAAGAACCGCTTACATTTTTCTCTCTGAGAAATTTGTCTTTAGCAACCATGGCTCTCAAGGCACTCACTTGCACATTATACATAATACTGCTTGTGGCCAAAGTCATGGTACCTTCCTATTCTTAAATAATTTACCAAGAGTTCTGAAAGGCGAGTATTTTAAAGAGAAAAGTGGTATGTGGGTTACCCAGGCTAAGGAGTGAGTTAGCCGGACAATTCTTGTGAATATGTGCTTTTTCTAATTAGAAAATCTGAGAACAAGGTAACAGTGTGAGTCTGTTATCTCCACGAAGGAGTGAAATGGGTGCTGGGAAATTGAAGGAGCTTCAGAACGGGAATCTCACAACCTCAAATGGGGAGACCGGCAATGGGAAAGCAGTCGCTCTGATTCATGGAGTTTTCGGAGATTCACGTCCACTCCGTGCTGCATTTGAGCGACTTTTCTTCTTGTGATGTGGACACGACAGAAGAGAGGTCCCAGTGACATTCGGCATTTGTGAGGGTCTGGCACCATGACTCACTTCCATAGATTTAACATGTTTATGTATAAATTACAATGGCTCAACTGTATAAAAACTGATAGCAGTTATAGATCAATTCCCTCATTTCTCACTTGGGCCACACTTCCTGTTTCTGCAAGAACATATCGCTTGGCTAGAAGACACGAGGTTGACATTGAAAGGAAAAAGGACCTTGTATAAAAATGATGCAGAGAATTCTTCTCAAAGGCCACTGGACACACACTTTGTTGGTGACCAGCTGTCTACCGGCACGGCAGCGAGACAGACAGAGCTCCATGCGTGAGCAGTCACAGCTCCCGTGACCCACACCAAGACCCCCAGGGTGACGACAGGCCAACCAGCAGCCTTGGAACGTACACTTCCTTCCTGAAATAGCTTCCCGAGAGACAACAAACAGTGATAATTGCAGGCATTTCTATGACTGGGAAGCAAGAAACCCTCCCAATCCTGTTCCTTCTACACCACATCCAGAACAGGCATACACCCGGTGTAGAAAGCTCCCAAGGCCTGAACAGATCATTCGAATCTAATTCAGACTGACCTAATCTCTGCAGTGCAGTCCTACAAACAGACTTTCCAAAAGTTACCAAACCACTACCTCAAACCTCATGCTTTCTCTGCTTCGAAAGAGGACATGCGGCTCGGTTTATACAGCCACCAGCACACACACAGGGTATTATCTTATTGCCCTTCAGTGCCAAGAAGAATCCTGTGGTCTCACAGTAAAAACAAAACCACAGCCACCACAACCCAGCTTTTCAAGTTGCAGGGAGTTTTACAGCCTCTTTCTATGTCGTCTTCCTTTTTGCCCCAAACTGGATATTCTTTTTACTTTCTCCTTATTTCCTGAATATAATTTGATGAATATAATCAAAGTGCTTGTGTTAGAAGCAACTTTACTTAAACAGAATTGAAAGAACTACATCAAAATATTAAGAGTAGCCATTTCAGGGTGACAAGAGAACAATATATTGTTTTTGTTCATTATATTCAACATTTGCAAAGTTTTTTGCCTTGAGTGTAGTCACTTTTGCAATCAGAGGTTACAGTGCTTGATGGAATGAGGCCATGAAGCACACACACCACCGAGTTTCTAACACAGAGCAATCTGTGAGGAAGGATGGAGACACAGGAAAGGTTCATTTTAAAGCAATGCAGGTGTTTTCTTTATAAAGGCAAAAGACATTTTTAAAGTGTTTGCATCATACACAAGTCTGCTAAATTTGTCAAAAACAGAGAAAACAGTAACAGAAGAACACTTTAGCCCACAAGGAGACCAGCACACCCAGCTCGAGGCCACTCCAGAGAGGAGGGAGAGTGTTTCCTCACAGCTGACCCACAGGATGGGTAACATGAGCAGGAGGGAAACACGGGGACCACAAAGACATCAGACTGTGGACTGCACAGCAAGAGACAGCAACACAAACTAGCAGAGTAATTAAAAACTATTGTAAAAAGATGTCCACATTCTATTTTAACCTAAAATCAGTGGCACAGAGACACTTCAAAACATCTATAAACAGTATCCCTGAAGATTCCGTCAGACTCTACGCTGAACAATGTTAAGACGAGTAACAATAACAGGATAGCCTCCCCACATTGCGTGATGGGGTCTTCTCAACACAGACCCTTAGAGCATGCTAGCCCCATCGCCAAAACACAGCGAATACATGGAGAAGGGACAACCTGTCCAGGCGTGAAGATCAGCTTCTGAAGCACGCAGTGTAATTATGGCTGAAAGCATTTCCTGCGACACTGAGTGAAGTGTTTGAGTCAGAATCTACCTCCATGTGCTAAGTTGTTGCTGTGTTTAATAATCCCAGTCCAACTCAAAATATCCAAGGCAGAAAGCAGCATCCAACCACGAACACCTCAAATACCGATTAAATGGACAGCACTTTGTGGAAAGGCCTTTCCCAACATGACACCTAGAGGGGACAAGGAGGCAACCCATGCCACGATGGCCCCCTGGTTCCTCTCGCTGTTCCTCCTGCGTCCTCAGCACAGCCGTGTGCTTTGCTAGTGCCCTGCTGCAGAGAAAACACCCCATGCGGCTACTGGGGAGGTCTTCTCTTATGACATCCAGCTTAGAAGGCCGCATGTCCACTGGCCAGGTGGCCCAGATCCCACAGGTGAGGGGAGAGATCTGACCACAGGGTGCAGGATGGACCCATCTCCTGTGAGAGGCAACGCCAGCGGGTCACAGGGAGTCCTGGCCAGTCTGAGGCCCCGGTGCGAGGAAGGGGGCAGTGTTGGATGAACGCACAGTGCTGGAAAGGGTATGAGCTGAGAACAAAGATGTTTACAAAGCTCTGAATAAAACCCAAATCATTCTGAGAAGAGCTCATAAGATGAAGAACTTTTAGGAAAATATAACATGGGTAAACAGGTTGCTACGAAACAAATATTCCCTTGAAAACACAACATCCTTTTCACAAAATGAGCCGATAGATGAAATCCAGCAGCTGTGCAGCATCAGAAATCCATGAAAGCATCTGACCAAGTGCCCTCCAAAGCCTTAATTACAAACGCCCTGAATACAGTTTTACCCGGTCACATGAATGAAACACCGGATGAGAGGCCATGGACTGGAAACAATGAGAAACAGAAATATCCTGGGTAAAGGTACCAGGCAGGATTGCAGAGGAGTCTACAGACATGTGCGCGGACATCACCAGAGTAACAAGATTTGCTGGTCATGCTGGACACACAGACAGTGTCACGGACTCCAGCAAATGCCTGAAATACAAATGCTTAAAAAGATAGGGGAAAATCATCTGGAAGCTTAGCAGTTAAGACAGAGGGCAGTGACTTTCTAGTATTTCTAAGTATCTTTGAGGATGAGCACCGAAAGTGTCAAGGATATTTCCACCTACGGAGAGGTCGGGAAGTAATGGCTTGCAATTTCACATAAACAGAAAATGATTTTAGCCCAGGTGCAGTGGCTCAAGCCTGTAATCCCAGCACTTTGGGAGGCCGAGGTGGGCAGATCACAAGGTCAAGAGATCGAGACCAGCCCAGCTAACACGGTGAACCGCCGTCTCTACTAAAAATACAAAAAATTAGCCAGGCGTGGTGGCGGGAGCCTGTAGTCCAAGCTACTCGGGAGATTGAGGAAGGAGAATTACGTGAACCCAGGAGGCGGAGCTTGCAGGGAGCCGAGATCGCGCCACTGCACTCCAGCCTGGGCAACAGAGCCAGACTCTGCCTCAAAAAAAAAAAAAAAAAAAAACCAAACAAAAAGAAAATGATTTTAGCTTGGGATTCTAAAGCGGCATTAATGTGCTATCACAGCAAGGAGAAAACAAGCAGATGCATAAATACTGAGTGAGAAGGGGATGAGGGAATGAAAGGGGTACAGCTGGATTCGGGGCTGTTGGGGCAGACACAGCATGGGGGCTCCATGGAGAACACGTGGCCTGCGGCCGTCTCAGGCAGAGAGGGCTCTTGCTGGAGAAGCTCCTACAAAGCTGTCCGGGCTGGGGGTGGGCTGCTGCTGCCATGCAACACAGGAGCCAGAAACCCCAACAGGAGCAGGACCTGCTAGAGCCCTTGTGCACGGCCCTGGGACTAAGAAGTGAAACCACTATCCTGACATGCCTCTGCCACACTTCACCAACACAACTGAACAGAATTTGCAGGGCTCAGATCCATGGTTTCTGAAGAAGGTAATAAAGGGTGAATGTGGAGCTGAGAGGCAATAAGTTGATAGAGGCACATTTGGTGACCCCAAAAGAGGCAGATCTTTCTCGTCTTTTCTCTCTGCTGTGGCTGTTTATGGTTCATTCCCTTTAGGCCTTTAAGAACCCAAAAGCACCCATCTATTAAGAGAAGGGATTATTCAGGATCAGCTTCATGCAGCATTGAATAGATCACTATTGCAAGTAAAGAATTTGTTGGTACTTCTTACATTTATACTGTTAGATAACTTGGTTAACTAAAATACATTTTTTAATGGCATTTCTTAAAGTACTAAAAATGGCAATAAGCTACATAGTATGTCACATGATGCTGGAGAAATAAAAAATATCTTCTCTGGCAAGAGTTTATTAAAAGTTCAACATCACGGTACACACATTACGTAGCCATTCCGTATGTCTCCATCTTCTGCAAGCACCCCTTCCTAAAATAATGAAAATGAAACATTCGTTTTTCTTTCCATTTAATTCTGCAAGCTGCGATTCCGTCTCACTGAGTTCAAACCCCAGCTCCTCTCTGACCTTGGGCCAATTACTTAACCTATGTGCTCCCGTTTCCTTGGGTGCAAATTAGGAACAGTGAGTCCCTGCCTGAAGGGTGTCTCATATGCATCTGTCTGCATATCTGTGTATTCGTTATTTATCTACCTGTCAATCATCCATTAACAAGCAGGAACATGAGGGGAAATCAGGGTGACATTGACATC